GATTTAGTATCCAATCTGAAAAAGTAAAACTTCCTCCTTTCACTATATCTTTTATCCACAAAAAGACTTAACTTGTATTTGATCCAACATCCGATCCACATTCGCATGGCCCCCCCTGAATACTACCTCATTCCTGGTATTCCAAATTGTCCATACCAAAGAGTACCAAACAGCAGCCCAGCCCAGTCGGTTTTTTGCTTTGGATACCATGTCTTCATGCTGCATAAAAGAATGCCTACATGTTCCAGCAAGTACAGTATTTAGACCCCACCATTGAATGCATTTTATCCAAATTGCTGAAGCAATTATACAATGGAGGAAAAGGTGGTCACTATCCTCTACACATTTGTTGCATAACCCGCATGTAGTTGGTTCTATTTCTGTGACTATTCCTCTTCTGAACAGATTGAGTTTTTTCTAGTTTTAAAGATGAATTGCATTGCAGAGAGGATTTGCATTCCTTGACTAAATTGCTCACTCAGTTGTTATAAATAGCAGAGTGAATTTCATCTCAAAACATATATCAACCATCCAATAAACAACACAGAACAGCATGGGTTTCCTTCTTTCATTTTCAACAACTCTGACCATGGGAATCTTGGCCTCTTTACTCTTTATTTGTAGTTTCTTAGCCCTTTCAAGGCTAAGCAATGCTCAAAAGAAGAGAATGCCACCACAAGCTGGTGATGCATCGCCGCTCATCCGTCACCTCCCCTTGTTAGGGGGGCCAAAACCACTTCACAGAACCTTGGGTGAAATGGCAGACAAGTATGGTCCTGTTTTCACTATCAAACTTGGTGTTAATCGGGCTTTGGTGGTGAGCGACTCGGAAATAGCAAAAGAATATGCCTAACTACAAATGATAAGGCCTTTGCCCACACGCCCGAAATCAGTCTCCATGGAGCTTTTGGGCTACAATTACGCCATGTTTGGCTGCAGCCCTTACAGTCCTATTAGCGCCACGCATGTAAAATTGCCACACTCGAGCTTTTATCAAACCACCGGCTTGCGATGTTCAATCAAATGAATATACACTTTTTTTTGGCGACCTTGAGTCAGGTGGAAAATTAATTAAAAAGGATATTGTATAGAGATTTAAAAGGTATTAAATAACAAATCGCTAAATTTTGTTAAAAATTTATTAAAACATTAATTATTTTATATATAATAAGAAATTAACATA